CCGATCAGTGTTTATTATTTTATATTCCTTAGCGATCTCGTTGCCTTATCTTATTCCGAAATAGAACTACAAAAGTTTTGGGAATATTTCTGTTCTTATCTGAAGGTTTTTTATTTATTTTTATTATTAATATTTATTAACTTTATTTTGTTTTACATTTACCTCTTGTTCAATACTGAATTAAATTTTAATCATCACACTTACATACTTTCGATATTATTTAATTGATTTCACTGCAATAAATTTCATAGCCGTTTTCTTTAAAAATAGAATACGATATTTTTATTTATTTATGTATATATATACATATCAACATTCTTTTCATTTTTCTGGATGTTTTTAATTTTTCTGGTTGTGGTAGGTAATTATTTATTCAGTTGACTCTGTCCTCGGGTCGGGAGATTCTCCTTGGGCACAAACAGGCTCTTTAAAGTGCTTCATTAATTAAGCATGGTAGAACCTACGGACTATTTTTATTTGATTAAGATACTGACTTTGGAGTATTCAAACGTTATCCTTTTTTAAGTTCGTGTATTCCTTGATTACTTATTCATTTTATGTGTTTATTATTACTGCGATCTTTTTTCTTTAACCAATGCTTTATGTTACACCTATTTACAAACATGTGATTTCATCTATATATTCCATAAATATAATTATTAATGCTTATTTCATGTCGTTTCTAATGATATTTTACAGTATAAAAAGATGAGTTTAGAAAAAGAAGCAAAAGTCTAGTTGAATCACTGCATACCTCCAATCTCATTTCTAAAATTAATTTATATTTATTTTATTATATATTCTAATATCTACTTTGAATACACAAAGTGAAAGAGACGTTTTGTGTTGCTAATTAATATCTGTTCAACCAACCTTAGCCCTTCTATTTCATGCTCGGTTTAATATAAAAGTATATATATTTAAAAGAATAGTTATAGTATGTTTCGATATTTCCTCACAACTTATCGATGTGTTTCTGAGCTAAATATGCTGCGGTTTTGCAAGAGATCTGTTGTGAAACCTTGTTGAGTGCAGTTGGTCTAGCAATCCATCCAGTCTATAGATGGTTCGATAATATGTGTAACATGTGCTCTCCTTTTAGCATATTTATAGCTAGTACGTTTATAGTCCGATAAATTGAAAACCGTGAGGAATAATTCAAAATATTCAATTAGCATTCTAAAGTTTATTACAAATCAATGTAATAAAAATCTCGTGTGGGTAAATTAATTGTAAGACGGGATATTGAGAGACTTACTAAGACAGATTAATGAAGTTTAACATTTCCTCGTACAAGTAAATTAAGATAAATTACAGTATGTGATATCAAGCCGGAAAATCAACAGGAAGGACAGTATCTACAAAGATAAAAAATCTGATAATAGACAGATTCAGATATCAGAGATAGACCCGATCAAGGATGCTGGAATCCCTATAAATCTCAAATTAACTGTTTCAATGCTTTGAAGGAGCCAGATGAGACTGTTATAAAAACTGGTCAGTCCATGTCTCATGATGTGAAGGAATAGAGGTTAAGATAGGGCATAAAAATGTTCTCCCCTCAAAAATTTTGATGACGCCATTTGCTCATTGCAACCCCATTATTGGCTCCTCTACTACTGCCAATCTCTTTTTTAGATTTAACACAAGTTCTAATTCACTTTATTTTTGCCCACATCTTCCTAGTCTTTTTGGTTATGCGGCGTCTTTCCCGGACCAGGAGAAAGGGCGAGGGATTAATGAGTTAAAAAACCTCTCTCTCTTCCGGCATTAGTACGCGAACTCGTAATTATTTTATCGTATGGCCTTCGGTTTATCAAGTTGCCGAACACCGCGTGTTTTCACATCTCTTAAATCACTATGTATTGTATCCTTGCACTCCGTTTCTGTACGTAATCAAAATTATATTGATGCCTCCTCTAAAATCAAAATATAGACAATATAGTACCCAATGTTGGGTTGGAACGTCTTCGTACGAGTATTACCACCTAATGCCGTGGCCCAACTAGCACCATAACCCCCTTAGCTGCCATGATCACATTTACCTAGTGATGGTCATCCTCCGAAAGGCGTGACGCCGCTAGATGGAAAGATCTAACGGCCCTCCTCCATCTTCCAACTGTCTTTGAAACCTGCTCAAATGATGCTAATTGAGCTTATGTAACTCAGAGGAAACGTGTTCATCGACTTCCTCGTCCGATCCATAGAAGGAATCAATTTTATGGACAGGAGTGCAATTTATTAGAAAGTTTAACTATCTGTAAAGAAAATAAGATCGGTGATGTGTGTCCAAGACAAATTATTTGAAAGTGTGCGTCCGCGAACCTAGGTTTCAATATATTCTGTGTATTTTCAGCTTTTAATTAATTATGATATATATATATATATATATATATATATATATATATATATATTGGAGAGGGTAGCTCAGTGGTTCCTGGGTTCGAATCCGAGCTCATGGGAGAAAAATTATTTATTCTATTTCATAGCCGTCGGGTGACCCTCCTTGTCCAGTGACCCTCTAGGATCAGGAGACCTTCCTGGGGTACACCCAGCCTCTATAAAGTGGGTGCTCCAGAAATAAATGAAACCATGTCACATTTTTATATTTTTTTGGGGGGAGCTAATTTTCCGCAACATTGAGCTATTAAAATCTGTGTCTTATTTACTTAATTATTTAATATAAAAAAATGGACTTGCTGTATTCTATATCCGGGACACAGATACAAATAACCATGTTTGTAAAATGATTAGGAGGACGGATAAAATTTTCTACGAAGTTTAATTCATTAAATCATCTTATTTATTGATCCTTGTGATAAAATATTTGCTTTATGTTTAGCTTTAATAATTTAAATCATGTTGTTAATATATATACAATTTAATTACTAGAAGATCGTTTTTTCTCTTTACTAGAGATAAATTAGTTCTATATCAGGTTAAACTATTCAAACTCAAGCAGTAAATTTTGAAACAAAATTTCATTTATACTCATCAAGCACTAGTGTGGTATTCTGCTATATTCCCTAATTTACTCTCAAAACTCACATAGCTTATTTATTTTTCATTTTATTACAATCTACAATTATAAATTCGTCTGTGATGTATAGAACAGAATAGAATAGAAAATAAAACTTTATTCTGGGACTAAGTCCCCTTAGAATAACAAAGATGAATTAATACAAAATAACATACCAATCTGGCCAAAAACTAACGTATAAAACATAATATACATTATTTAAAAAGTAGTATGTAACCACTAAGAAATAAACAAAAAAATATACATATATATAAATACACGCACAGATGTATATATCAGTACCTCGGAGGTAAAGAATGCCATATCTATTTTTTGTATTGGTTCAGGGAAGGCAATGTTCCATATTTTTGAGGTATTATAATTTGTCTGTTATTTACTAAATCTTTACTCCGGAGGTAAAGTACTTTCTGTCGTATTTTCGTGTTTGTTCAGCCGATTATCCATAACTTTGAGCTATTAAAATTTGTTTCATAGTTACTAAATTATTTAATAAATTAAATGAACATGGCATCTTTTACCTTCGGGACACAGTTATAGTTTTCTAATTCTTATTTTGTGCGGAACCCAAGGCGGTCTATCTTTCACTATACCCTCCTGGATAAGCCATTGCATGTTAGGAAAATAGATTTATCAGCCTCCTATAAATCATACTGCCTTCAAACAACTTGTTATAATGGCCAGTGTTTGTTTTTCATCCATTTTCTTTTAATGTTGAATTGTACAATTAATTTTTCTTTTTATCTCTCTTAATAGTAGTTATATGCTCATCTCTCATATTAGTTGTTATGTACATATTTCTCTGATAGTATTGAATATTTAATAGTTTACCGTTGCATTATAAGGGAAGGAGATGGTCCGGGGTGGCGGTCATAAAAAGGCTAAATAGTGGCGAAACTATCTTATTAAAAGCCAACGTTTCGGACCAACTTTGCAGGTCTTCTTCAGGGCTTGAAGCGGACAAGATACAAAAAAAAATATATAGAGAATTGTGGAAGTTACATAATACTTAGAAGAAGAAAAAATATAAACAATGTGAATAACATTAGTACATTAAAATATAAACAGAGTAAGCTAAGTAACAAGATCTTAAACTGAAGTAAATAGATGGTGACAATTGCTATAGTGTAATATATGCAAATGTGAATTTACTTCTACAGATCTACGGGAGATATTGAAAAAGGATATAATATGAAATACTAAACATATAGGAATGTGGAGAAAGAAAAAAAAAAATAAGTATATAAAATTAGAAAAATAAAATTAGAGACTTATAGGTGTGTTTAGCTAGGAGTTTCACTCAGAACTGGAAAATAAAGGTAAGGTAGGTATTGGGGAATTTTGCTGATCTGAATTTGCTGAATTGAAGGTATGGATGGATACAAGAGAAAAAATACTATTTCTTTGAAATAATAAATTATAAATATATACATATACATATAAAATAAAATTAAGAAATTATAGATAAGAGTACAATGTGAATAAAAACGAAAATGGAAGAAGTAACATGGAAGTAAAATATGTTTACAATTTTTAATAACATGGAAGTAAAATAGGTTTATAATTTTAATAAGCTTATTCACATTGTTTATATTTTTTTTTTTTCCAAATATTATCGAAGTTCTACTATTCTCTCTCTATTTTTTTTTTTTTTTTTGTATCTTGTCCGTTCTAATCCCGAAGAAGATCTGGCTTTTAATAAAATAGTTTTGCCAATATTTAGCCTTTTTATGAATGCCACTCCGGACCATCTTCCTTTCTCTCTGCGTCTACTTCAATCTTTGTTTTTTTTTTTATCTTTTCCTTCATGTCTATTTCTCATAATTGAATTTTACTATGTAGCCCTACCTAAAACACCTTAGAATTATATTTAGGTTTCTCCAGAGCAGTGATATTGAAAGAAAGTCTTTTTCCAAGGTTCGATCTCGTCACGGCTGAAGAGGAATAACGTGCTGTTGACTTGCTATACCATAATATTCAGCGGGGCAGAGCTATGGTTGGGCCATTTCACTAGTTTTCGGTCCATCCGGTTACCGTGAGACTGTCGGTGTGGAACACTACCGCGTTCTTGTCTTCGGTTCGTGGTCCTCCTGAATGAGCCATCTGTGTCCCTTCTCTGCTATCGACATGTCAATTACAGTCGAATCTCGACAGTTCAAACTCTTCATCTATTAACTTAACATTATCTATTTTGCATATATACATATTCTATTAACATAACATATTCTATTAACTTCATCTATTTTGATAGCTCACTAACTCGAAATGCTTTTCGTATCAAGTGGTGCAAGCAACATCCTTTAATTCGAACTAGACCACTTGTCTTTATAATTCGAAATTTTACTAGCAATATTTTTTACATATGACTATTTATAAATTACATTTATGGATGCTCATACATATTTTCAAAAATATAATGAAAACTCTTAATAATTCCATTTTTTTTTCTTTCCTCTTGATAAATCAACTTTCTTCTTGATAACTCTAAGTTTTCTTTTAGTCCCTTAGATTTTGAAAACGGATTGTAATGAGTTCTGAGGATCATACTGAGATGACCTCTGAGTTTAATGAAAGAAAAAAAGCCTACTTTTTCGAAGAAACACCACGAACAGGGTTTCTTTTTCTTTTTTTTTTATATTGTTCAATTAGATATTTCAAAATATTTTATATTTCCCTCTATCTTCATAAATGGCTATAATATGGACGCTTTATACCTCTGTTTGAAACGAAATGACATGTGATAATGCTGAGATAAGCCTGGAATAACCGGTGACTTTGACACCAGATCCAAAAAAAAGAAAAGAAAAGGTATACCTTTTCCGAACCATTGAAACCAAAAATAAGAGATCTCAGCCAATTAAACCTTTAAATCTCTTCTCATTTAACTGATTCCTTTAAACAATTGTTTATTATGTGTGTCACCTTGTAATGGTATTCCTTCCCCAGCTTCTATGCATAAAAGGTCATATTTAACTTCATTTAAACATCAATTATTTATCTATCTCAGCTATCAATCTTCCTAATTTATATATCAGAACAAATATTTTTATATATTAGAGCTACCGGTCTTGTTTTAATGTTATGTCTATAATTTTTATTTATTTACTTATGCTTGTTTTTTTTTATCATATCACAACTCATTAATTTAACTATTTCTTTACTGCCATTTGGTGCCAAATGTAACTGGTATTGCACATAGAATGTCCCAGAATAAAATTTACTTGTCTTCCTTTCTGTCGTTAAAAAAACGTTTTTTTAAAACGACAAATTTTGAGAAGGCTATTAATTAAAAGTTATTTAAAATTATACACCTAATATTGAAGTGAAACGGAATCATTTCTTTCTTTTTTCATCGACAGGAAATTGAAATGAAAGTTATAGTTTTTATGGAACGAGTTGGTTGAATGAAGGGTACGATGATTTATAAAATAAAACTCACAGACCTAAAATTTACTTCTTTATAATATGTTCATCTCTTAGCACACCCCTCAACCAAGGTCTCTTGTCATAACGGCAGACCTGGGTAAAATGTCTGTTAAATATTATTCAATTAAAATCCTTTTTTTTTTAACTTTTATTTTGATATTTACAACTGTATTCGTATGAATACATCAAGTAAATGTGTACAGAGAAATATTGTCACATGAAACACGCTTGTTGAGAAACTACCGACTGGTAGCACTCTAATAATTTGTCGACATGAGAAGATCACGAGGCCATCTTCTTTTCAGACGCCTCGGAGGGTTATCAGGAATCGAAGAGGAAGCAAGGTTAGAAACAAGAGGATTCGGATGGTTATGAAGTTTATTATGGAATGACAGGTATCTGGATTTGGCCTAATCGGAAACATATGGAACATTGAGGTCTTTATGGATTATTTTATTAGTGACAAAGTAAGGAGCATTGAGTATTTTACGAAGGATTTTGGATTGTAAGGATTGGATGCGAGAGGAATTCGATGGTTTAGTGGAGCCCCAGAGCTCAATTCCGTAAGTCCAAATAGGTCTTATTATAGTCAAGTATATGAGTCTTTTGTAATTAATGGGAAGTTTAGAGCGTTTGTCTAGTAAGTGTTGGAGTAGTGAATTAAAATACAGTTTTTTAAATTACAAATACAAAATTGTTTCTGGTGGACGATCAGCCTATAATACAGGGAACTTACTCTATTTGGTAATTTTATTTTGTGTATTTAAAATATTTTTTTTATATTTTAGTATCTTGGAAATATAATACTTTTCTTTGTATTTGGTTTTTAATTGATAAAATGCTGTCACAAACAATATATTTCGTATATTAATATACTTTATTTTAAATTCTACCCAAGTTTGTTATGTGTTAGCAATTTTTTTACTGTCATACATTTTCATTTATTAATTATATTGGACTAATTGGGAATCGTCCATCACTAAATATATGGTTGTTGCCCTTCAATTATTTAATTTTTTGAACCGTTCTGACATATTTGATGTGTTATTACAGTGGTCCGACCTTACTCTCTCTTATATATATATATATATATATATATATATATATATATATATATATATATCATCTGTTTATGCTGAGTATGCTGTGTTATTTAGCAGCTAAATACTGTTGAGCAGTAGTACAATGCTATTGTAGTTCTCTCTCGGTTGAATTTCGTAAATAATTAAAAATACTCACTACATTAACATCATTTTTTTTAATGTATTATTTTAATATTATTTATTTCTGTTTTATTGTACTGTTTAAAATAAAACCTAATAATAGGTTTGTGTACAACTTTTTTTTTTTTACAATAATCAAATAGAGGACCTATGCAACACTGCCAATTAAAACCGAACACACTATTAGATTAAATAATTACTTCTAGTTTTATAATCCACATTTTATTTGAACTTGAAGGCGACCTAATCAACTTTTGATTTTTTTTAATTAGTCGCTGTATCATTTTGTTATTTCCTCTGCGATTCTTTACTCGATTCTCAATTAATTTTTGATTTTTGGCGTTTCATAATTAAATAAAATAGAACAATATGAAGTCCTACAACAGCCCCGAACGGCCTATTTGACAGAAACTTAGTTGGAGAGATTGACAAATCCTACTCATACTAACATACTATAGCATATCCCCATCTCTGCTTAGTTGATAGTTTCCTTGTTATATTTTTTAGATTCGGTGCCATTTTATTATTTTGTTATTCAATAGGTTTAAGAGCACAGGTCACCAATAAGATACATTTTTATTGAATATCTTTATTTGTCAACGTTTTGACTTCAAGAGGAATTTTCTAGAGGAGAATCTATCATGTGCCATTTATTAACATTTTTTAAATATATAATTATTACATCTTTCGTATGGTTATCCATCTTTTATTGCAAGGAATTTCGTTGTGATTCCTAGTTTGTAGCAGACATTAAGTTTCTTAGCTATGCGTTCAATCGGGACTTGTTGATATTGTTATTAGTATTATACTATTATGTTCATTCGTTTGTACTATTGTAAATAATATTTTAATTAGCAGTAAGTATATTTATTAAAAATATATATATAATTTTACTTTTAATATATATGTCTTAGTAGAGGAGGTAGTAGTTTATGCATGAAAATTAGTAGAAGAAAATAGTATTAGTACTAATACATTCTTAAAATTTTATGTTAGTAGGCATATAAAAAAATTCGACCAACCAAACTATGTAAACTATAGATTTCTATACTCTATTATTCCGCGGTAACGACTTCATTTTATCTAATTATTGAAATCCGTCTTATCGTAATCCTCTATATAGCTTTTTTATTTACCAAAATTCTCAGATATAGGCCCTTTTCTGATTATATTAATTAATTTAATGAAAAAACGACCCGTTAATTAATTCAATTAACGATTAAAAACATTTGAATCGTAAGATAATTTGATCACAAAATCGGGAAAAAGGTAGGCGGCAAAAATATAGGGCAGTTTGGTATATGTAATATTGACATTTACCAAACGGTCCAATACTTTTGTAGGCAATCTTTTTTTTCGGTTTTTTGATCAAATTATCTTTCGATTCTCGTGGAAACTATTCATCTATTTTCAGTTTGAAAACGCCCCGTTTCTGAGAATGTTTGTAAGCAGAGAAGTTGTTGGTTACGATTAGATGAAGCCATTAACGAAGTTTTAGACGAATGTTAATAATTTTTATAAAAAAGGGTTATGTTCCACGGAATATAGATATTTATTTATACCAACATTTAAAATTAACTTTTGTTTTTATCTAAATGACTATTTTTATAAGATTAAACATTAAGATGAAATGCCATGTACAGACAAGACTTTGACTTGACTTGACATAAAACGCATAGGGGTCCGGTTTTCCAAACATGTGTTCAAGAATGGTGAACTTATATTTGGAAAATGTTTCCCGGACTACATAAATTAAAAAACTCTTATGTAGATATTATTAAATGATTCAAATAAGAAAATCCTAAATAACTCAAATTCATGAATGGATATATGTACGATCTCGACGTTTGAAAATCATCCAGATCTTCCTGTCTGGTCCTTAGTATCCAAAAATGCAAAAACACCTTAAAATTTTAAGAATAAAATTAGAGAGATAATTCTTATATCTACTACTTTGTAATCTTAATTGCTGACCAGTGCTATCTTCCCAATGACATGAAGCAGTCTGTACGTTATCGCGCTTCCCAACCAAATACCGATAATCCCATTTGTTGTTTGATAAGAAATTGTCCTACGTAACTTAAATCAGCAAAACTGGGTGATACTGATTATTTCATTTAATGTTTATTTTCACTACCGATTATGACACTAATAAGTTTCACTCACTATTTCTTGAGCTAACATTTCCTGTAATTATTCAATTCGTTATTTGTCCGAATTCAAACAAGTTTTATTCTTGGCAACAAGCTACTCACTCGCTTTTTTTCTAAATAAAGACTAATATAAAGTGTAACTTTTACTTGTTTTACATGACCATATTCTATTAACGCATTACTAAATTTAAAAATAATAATTAGTTTCTGCCTATCGTGTTAGTGGATTTAGCACTTTCGAATTTTCTTGTCTCAGCTAATTAGCAACTAGAAATAGAAAAATATGGAAATATATTTGTTGGTAACTTCCTGTGAGATAAGTTCTTTTCTGGACTGAGTACCGTTAAATTATTTACCTTAACAGAACTGTTCTTTACAATTTACATTTTCTTTACTAGAACAAAGGTATTTTGCAACTTGTATTTTTGTTTGAAGAAAAGATAATATTTTTACAAAACGACATAATTGCAGTGGTATCCCTCATTTAATTTTTTTTTTTAAACACTTTATTGAGAAATATTACAATTTGTCACAGTTAAGGACACTTATAATAGAGTTCAGAGAGTACATTCATACCGTATATACAAAAATATAAATGACTAAAGTAATAACAAAGAAATAAGAAAGAAAAACAAAAGAAAAAAATAATATATATATATATATATATATATATATATATATATATATATATATATATATATATATATATGTTCATAAGTAAGTAAAAATAGAAATAAAAGTAAAACAAACATCTTAGATAAAACATATCTATATACATTATTTACAATTAGCCAGGTGATCTCCGAACCAATCCTGTCCCCTTCACATGTGGAGGGAAAAGGAAGGCTTAGGAGATCCCTACGCTTCTCCCTCAGCCACTTCACTGTTATTTAAAACCAGCGGAGAACCTCATTTAATTAAGTATTGCTAAACCCCTGCAGTGAGAAAACATTTGGACAGATCTTATAAATGCCTTTTGAGTCAAAATGGTCCAATATTTGTTCGGAGGCCAACAAAAACTTGAGGCTGTTAAAAGAATAAATATACAAATGAGTAAATATGAAGAATATTGTTTTATGATCAGCTCCATGACTTTCCGCATCATATACAAAAATTATGATTACTTATTAGTTATTTGGTGGTGTTGTATTGGAAGAGTACACATCACGTAAAGGCGGTTTTAATCGCTGAGAAAAACATATTTATTTAATCATATTTCACATGAATTCTGTGAAAAAAACGGAGAAAAGAAGAAAAAAGAAAATGACGAGACGAGACAAGCAGTATCCATAAAAATATAATGAAGTACAATTACAATACAGATTGTAACAACATGTATATTTTAAGATAATTAGTCCTCTAAAATATCCTAATCACCTGTGAAGAGCAGAATTAACTGAGTCTACAGAGAAATATGATCTTGCCTAAATTTGATACCCGGCCGTTTGTCAAGGTTGACGAGATAAAACAACTGCCGAAACTTTACTCGCTCTAGCGATTAACAAAACGTGAAGCAGCGATTTCATTAGAGCACAAATATCCCGCAAGAGATCATAATTGCCTCTCATTGCTGCAAACCATCGTTTCCATGATGCCACTCATAGCTTCGTATCTGATCTCTTCTATACCAATTCGTAATATCATTTCGAGAGGTTCAAGGGCAATGAAGGATTCGTCTTGATCCATAGATCATGGCAGTTGACTATCCAATGTCATCAATAAACCAAACCTCTCGGCCTTTACTGACGTTCTGGAAGAAAGTCATATTCATTTTTTGTTTTCCGAGGTGCTTTAAACCGACTCAGGGATGTGAAAACACCGTGAATTGGATAACAGGTGGATACCAGTTCGTGAACTGGCTCGTTCATACATTTTATTTTAAAATAACTTGATAATTATTATTAAGCTTATTGACATTTATCATTGTTGATTACTTATTACATATTTTTAGTCCATGACTAATTAACATAGATAGTATTATTTAATTTTTTTTTTGCCCACTATACTACTTACTATAGAAGTTTACGATGGGAAGAGTAAAAACTTATTTGCTGAATGAATCAGCAGTAAGCTGGGACTGAAAGGATGTATATGTCGCCGATACAGTTATGTCAACATTTAATTTTTTTTTATATCGTACGTCGGAAATGTTCTGTCGCTGGCTATGTTGAGCTAACTCCAGCTATTTTTTATTGCATGGGAAGTGTTTCCAAGATAAGATTCATAAAGGACTCCAGGCCTTTACATACACTGTGGAATTCTGCCTCGTATTTATGTCTGTTGGTCCGCCATATAAAGCAAGGGACAACTTGATCTGTGCCATGTTCCATTCGCAACCTTGACTTTCTTCTTAGATGCCTTTATCTCTTTGAACTGTATCTCTTTGCATATGTCATCTTAAAATACATTCTTTGCTTTGAGGACTCAATGAATTGATTCATAACTCTACTTATTTTTATGACTCGATATCGACATTCAACTATGCCATCTATTATATTATTAAACTTACAATAACTTAATAATAATTGGACTTATTTCTAGACTCAGTACTCTCCACTCTTTCCAGATTTCTATTTGTTCTTCCCCCAACTGTTAAAATGAACCTCTCTGATATTTATACAGAACAAATTAATAAAATATATAGTTGAGAAACTTGAGAAATTACAAAAATAGTTGTGATAGTGAATAATAAATTATAAAAATCATTTACGTGATGAGCTTGGCGCTATGTCCGTGGAGTTTTTCGTGTGTTACATCCGCTTTTTACTTTGAGTAAAACACAATGTCCATTGAAATAATTTAGTTAATATTTAAATAATTTGATCAAAACTGTTAAAAAAGCTTTTAATATTTTTTTTTTAAGAATACATGAATGTAAGTTTAATTACATATCTTGAAATAAAATATTTTAAAAAACGGTTTTTGTAATGAACGTGTTTTCAAAACACCTTTTTAAATATTTAGATTCGTTTATTAAAAAAATTTCTTCTCCAAAGTTATTGAGTGTTTTTGCATGGATATCTATACTTATATCGGTATAAAAAAAAAATCTAAAACAGTTTTCTTTTGAAATAAGCGACACTTATCATCTTTATCTTACTTGTTTTTAACGCGTAACGCATCCTGATGTTGATACGTGCTGGAACGTTTTCGCTTCATATAAGTAACTGTGATTATTATTACTCCTGTAGGCTAAAGGCATATCGGTTGCTCTTTAGCGACATCCCCTACTCCAGGCGTCTTCAAGAGGGGCTGGCCCGTACCCCGAGGTGGAGGTGGATGTGAAGCCCCAGTAACGCGCCGACCACCGCCATGGTAGTGCACTAGTGCCGCTGTGTTCCGCGATCTTCCACGATCTCCAGGACAAATGTACCGGGTCAAGTTATACATTCTCCCTGAGGAGACTCAGGATAAGAACATCAAACAGGTACTACTCCTTGGCTTTTATAAACGCCTATTTATCAACGAGGAAGCTACGTTTATCGAATATGGGAAAATATATTTTCTGACAAACATAATATGAAAGAATTATCAGTAAAAAAAAAACTTAAATAAATAAATAAACAATTTCCTAAAAATGAAAACGAATCTCATTTCGTCTATATCGTGTTTCAGTCTGGGAAGAAAACAAACATTATTCTAATATATAAATATTAAACCGCGTTTAGCGGTTAAATAAAAATAAAGTTATTGGTTTTTATTTGATTATTACTTTTTTTTTTGTTAATAATTCATTTTATTTGTATGCATAACCAGCTGATATAACTATATTTTATCTTAATTAAAGGCGTTGATAACCTACAGGTTTTAAGACTTAACTCTCCATAACAATCAAACAACAGCCTTCAGCAGGAAACACGTATATCTTTATCTATATTTTCTCAAGTTTTTTATGTCAATACACCATACATTCGTCAATTCTTCATCAAATCCAATGAATGAACCAACATTATAAAAATTATCTTCTACTTCATTTGAAAAATATAATGACATCTCCACAAAGTTGCAGAGAAAAGAGTTAAGCCGAAAAAAAAATTATTTGTGCATAACTGAAAAAATATATATTCTATACTCCTACATAAACAAAAAAAAAAAAAAAAAAAATCATTAAAATAGGACTATTAACGTGATGAAATTGCCAATCACGTTATAATGTCGGAATGAAAAATCGGAAAATAATTCCTCCACCTAAATTCCTACGCATTAATTTATTTCTATATTATTTCGTAGTTTGTTAACTGTCCAATATATCGTACGAATTATTTGCACGGGCCAACTAGTATATTCATATTTAACTAACTGATAACATTCGCAGTATTTATAAAAAATACTTTTTATTTTCATTTATTTTCTAAACAAAAATCAAACATCCCCCAAATGTATTGTTCTCCGGATTATGTATTTTACAACCGTTTATGTTTTAATGTATTCTCTATATATAATAATGCATATGAATATTTTTTTTCTTATGTTTAATTGTTATCCGTATTTTATATGTATTTACAAATATTCTGGTACACAATGGTGATTGATACAAATATAGATATAAAACTTGAAAAATGTCTGCTTTGAATTACTTCAAAAAGAGACAAAATATTCTTCTTAGTGCATAATTAGAAAAATCGAAGAACAAAGCTTTAATTAGTTAATAATTTACGGAAAAGAAAGATCATATAATTGCGGGTCAGGTACAACACATCCCACACCAACAGTCAATTAAGACCCATCAACAAGAGACAGCGCAACACTCCAAGACATCTCAAAACATGCTAACTAGATGTCAGCAAATACAACTGTAGACTTGAAAACTTATGTATGATATGGGAAAAAGTTGTTGTGAACATGTAAAATTATAAATTAAAATAATCTCGAGATTTGGAACACATGAATTTAAATTTTTAATTACTCCTGTCCGAAACTCGACGGAATCGACATTGGCCCATTTATTAACGAGACACATAATTATAAGTTTTTATTTGTTTTTTTTTTTGTTAACAGTGTTAATCATTGGTTTGATAATTTTATTCTCTTTTTTTAGTAGCAATATCACATTCATTTAAAATTAGGACATTTTTTTTTCTACCAATTTGTAGATTGGGCTTGCCTAATTGGTAAAATATACACCTTTAGAAATGATGTATAGAAAATGTTTCTTTTCGCTATTTGGTGTGTGCGAGTTAATTAAAATATTAATTAAACTTTAGTAACTTGGTCACGTTTTTGAAGGCATCTCATCCATTTGGCTGGAATGGATTATACGTAATCTCAAAATAAAAATTTATGAGGTGCCTGAAGTAAATTTTTAATCACCAAATTTACAGTTAAAATCAAATGAACAAAATCACGTGTTTTATAGTCACTTTAGACTGTAAATTATTGTTTTTGTGTTGGCAAATCTTGGTTTAGATTTTTTTAATATATATATTTATTATAAATTTATTCGGAAAGTCAGATTGTGTTTCTTTTCTTTCTTTTTTTTTTTGCATGATTTTGTATATATCCTAATACGTACATTAAACTGTGCACTTACATATTATGTTATTTCGTTGAAAAGAACAAATAAGTGCTTAAACTTCAGTTCTTTAATGGCAATACTTATAATTGATTAAAATTCTTTTCTACTGTTTATTTCAATTTTATTAACATGTTATCTTTGTGAACCTATGATGTGCATGTTTTATCGTATTTTATTTAATAGCAATTTTTTTAAAAACAAAACGGATAAGAAAAATCTTTTAGTATTCTATTTGTCTCGTCTTCTATTTTTTTTTAAATTTTAAATAACACTGTTTCAAAATAAGTAATACTTAATACCAATTTTATTCACTGTAGTAAAATATTTGTTACCTTTATTCATTTTTAAACAAATAATGAGGTCAGTTGACCTAATCTGATGGATTTGATGTTGAGAGTGAAATTAGACTGTTTTTTTTTATAATTCTCTCTAATAAAAAAGTGACACCTATTTTTCATTATTCATAAATAATGAAACTAAATTCAAGATTGTTTTTATCCCTGAATGGTGTATAATATTTTATAATAACTGTATCGATACTTAATTATTATTAATTTATTTACTTTTTTGCTATTCCACTTAAATAAGTAAAAAAAAAAAAATATTTGCTCCGAAAATATATTAAAAATCAAGGATTTAAGTTTTCACCCAAACAATCTATTATGAATGACCTTGTCTGATATGACCTCTCTCTCTCTCCCCCTGGCTTTCCGTTCATCATTTGGGATCCTTCACTTCCGTAATTTTAGGAAGTCATTAAAATAAATTAATGACCTGTGAATTACTTTTGCATATCTTAATCTTTTGTTCAATCGTTTAGTATTAATTATACTTATGCCTTAGTGACATCTGCTTTCCTTGTGATTACTAAACATATAGTGAAAAGATTTGCTATGAAATTTTAATTGTAATATTTCCAAAATTAGTTTCAAGGTATTATTTTCAGTGGATTATATTTATCATATTCTTAAACCAAATTTTGTGATCTTCGGGAAGTTGTGTTGAAGATCGTTCGTTATAAAATACCAAAAGGAGATAAATGCAATTTTTTTTTTCTTTTATAGCACATACACACATACCTGTACCACTATATATGTAAGACCAACGGTTGTGCAGGAAGGTGATCGGGTCAGGATTACTCTCTACCGTCAGGTTTTCTCCCTTAATCAATTATTTAATTAAGGGTACCCATTTTGTAGAGGCTGAGTGTGCTCCAGGAGAGTCTCTTGAACCCTGGGTTGATCCATGGTTGATAAAAAATTATCATTCATCAGCTGGATTCGAATCCGGGACCATGAGCTTTAAAATGCCTAGCCACTGAGCTACATGCCTCCTAAATGGGGATTGCTCCAGTGCCCTGGGTGTGGCTCAGGAGGGTCTCTCTACCCCAGGTTCGCTCCATGGCCTATGAAACAGAATAAATAATTTTTCTGCCATTAGCCGAGGTTCGGGACTAGGACCTTGAGCATCCCTAACACTGAGCTACCCCGCTCCCTATTTTTTCTCTTATAACAAATACAAAATTATATGATTATTTTAATGACTGAAATATTGTCCCGATTTTTGTTGTAATAAAAATAAAATATTTTTTATTTTCTAATTGAGCTCCTATTAATAGTGCTTGCTATTTAATTAGTATCATATTTATGATATTTTTTTTTCTGAAATCGCATGTTCATATTTTCTATTATAATTATTATTTGTATTTGACAACAAATTTGTATATATTTTATTCCGCATAAAATAAAATGAGGAAGGATTATTATCTGTTGAAAGTTCTAAACTTTTTTATTTTTTTTTTTGCTTCAGTTATAACACTTTTTAGCTGTTTACTTCAATAGGTCCACGTTTCGAAAAGTACTACCACGACTAATCTACCTTTCGAAACCATGAGACATTTACTGCCTGTAACCTTCTCTATCTCATTGTGGGGTAACAAGAACCTTTTCAGTTATGTAAATATGACTTAGTATTGATATCTTGCATGTATATTATAACATTTAAGTATGTGTGTACTTAACTATGACTATGTGTGGTCTTAATGTTGAATAGCTTTTATGCGCAATAAGTCATTGAACTGGACTGTACGAATGCAGAACACTGATTAGCATTTGAGAACTGCATACATGAATTTATAACTGATTTCATGCTCTCCTGAGTTAGTAATAAAATTAATATTAGATTTATTTCGTTGAAGGTTAAACGTTATTATTTCATATTGTTAGTATATCCATCATGTGTTATGCTGTGATGTGTGTAATTGATGTTAGAAGTTATTTAAATTATCTCTGAAAAAATCAATCACATCGTCGGTTTATTGCAAAAAGTTATTAATTAAAATGTTGATGAATTTGAAATAATCTAATTTCAAGTAGCTGATTCGTTAAAGAAAAATACTAATATAGCAATTTGATTATTTATTTTTTGTTATTTGCAATTCTAAAAATGTATTATATTTTTGACAAGTAATTAAAATGTATGTTCGCCCAGTGGTCGAAATTAGACCATAACCATTAAAAAATAGAGAAAAACATATAATTAAATAAAAAATAAATTCATAATGATGTAGACTAAAATTCATAAAAATAGACTCAAAAAATAAATTCAATAGCTAAAGAGTAAATCACGATTCAAAACTCCTCATTTATTAGTAAAAACAAAATTTTAATTTCGATTAAAAATCGGGTTAAAGCTACTTAAAATTATTTATAAGTAATACAAAATAGACTCATTCAAAAATATTTATTTTCCATTTTAATTTATGTGTGTTATTACCACGATAAATTCATGTTATCATTAAGCAAGTAAAAAAATAAATTTAAATTAGCAATTTCAATTCAGTTTAAATCAATTTTTATGTAGAATCTCTTTGTAA